GCGGCGGCAGAAGAGGGAGGAGGAGGAAGAGGGAAAGTGTGGGGGGAGGAGGACGAAGAGGGAAAGGGGGGCGGACGCACGAGCGCGCGCCACTTCCCTCCCTCCTCCTGCCTGTCTTGCCGCCTGCTTTTCTCCCCGGCCAGCACGGCCCCGCATCACTCTCTCGGCGGCGGCTCTTTCCGACGGGCCCCCCACATGGAAGATCGGTAAGCGAGTTTTGCCCATTGGGGCCGATGCTATGCCTCCGCATTAGCGATCCCGGAAAAGGGATCGCTATGCGGATTCGTCGTTATACGGTGCGCTCGTAATGCGAGGCACCACTGTACTTGTTAAACTGTATGTGAATTGTTTCTACAAATCATTATGTTTTGATTCTGGCAAGTCAGTACAGGTTGCCTGGCTGGTGATCTCCCTTCTAGCTGTTGCTTTGACATATCCTCCTGGCCTTTACCACCATTTCTAGACTTTGTCATGCTGATAGCATCTAGTATCTTCTTTCTTTCTCTTTTCTAATATTTCTTCAAGTCTTTGCAGACCTCTGTGAGGACATCATGGGCCCCCTGGATGTCTGCAGTCACAGGTTAAGAACCTATGGTTTGAAGAGTGAAGAAGACCAGCTATTTTATAGGATTTAAGTGTCTTTCACAACTCTTAACATTTTTTTTTCAGGGACTATTGTATGTCTTCTTCCTGGAAATACTAGTGTATTTGTTATTAGCTAGAACAGAGTTATCCAACTGAGACTAATACTGGGACTTATTTAAAGCCACATACTCCAACCCACTGGCAGCAATGTGGTCTCTTGGATAAAAAGTGTCTACGTAATATTGGTTGTACATGGAAATGGTTGGAAATCATTTTTCGCTGTTGGAAAAACGGAGTGCTCCTCATATTTCACCCTAACCCAGCAACTACTTTAGAAATGTCTCTTCACATTCTAGATACAAGATGTGTACTTTCCTTCTACATTTCCCCAACAGCTGTCTTGTGTTATGCTCAGTACTTGCTTTTTTGCTGTAATTCCTCTAGGAAGCTCTATGGTCTACGCTATGTCCGCCCCAAGGTTTTTCAAGTGGATTGCTGGCAGAATAAACTGTGCCACAAACTTGCCAGACTGCAAGTGCCCCAACACATTCAGCCTCACTTAATCTGGACCAAGGTGACATCTATTGCCTTTTAAAGAGGTGGCCCACTGTTGCATATCTGCAAGGCCACTACATGCTCCCAAGTATCAATATTCAAAGAACATCGCATATGTGATGCCAGCACATGAAGTGATGCAAGTTTTGGCAGAGTCATTTTTACTGACATCAACCCCTTTAGTGACATCAACCCCTTTTCCGGTGGTAAGGTTGCTAATCTCATGCAAGTACAAGTCACAGAGACCCTGTAGAAGGACAGTTTGCTTGCATGTAGCTGTGCTTCTTTGAGAAGTCATCTGTGAGTCACACAGTGTGCCCTCTCAGCTTGTGAATATCCATGTGGATATGTATGAATGTGTTAGAGTGACTTGGGGTGCCACCAAACCTCAATAACTCAGCTTTCTAAGATTGCAGAATAAGGCTGGGCAGATTCAAAACAGTTCAAAGATTTGAATTCAGAGATGACCACTCAGAGAAATATGGTTACAAGTAAGCAATGTGTTGCTTACCTTAAATTAGTCTCCAATTTAAAAAGTTCCTGCTTAGTAGAACAGAACATCCCAATGTCCTGATCTACTAGGTGGCTACTAGGAGACAGTGTGGAGATTTCTTTAACAATGAAAAGATACACAGTGCTATAAAAAATCAGGAAAGGTTGTGTGTTTGAAATACTTTCAGTTTCTTGCCATATATGCATAGGATTATTCACTGCCTTTAAGAAGGCTTCAGACTCCACTGTGTGAATCACTCCTTAGTGCCTTTTTGTGTCCCTTTTGGGGGCGGGAATTGGGAAGTCTTGGCTACGCCATCCAGGCTGTAGCAGTAAATGGCAAAAGTTTTGAAGAATCCTCCACAGTTATAACGCTACAGTTGTGTAGAAATCAGCTGTATGAACAAAACTGTATATTTATATACCCGTATTTTTCGCTCCATAAGACTCACCTTTCCATAAGACGCACCAGTTTTTTAGGAGAAGAAAACAGGAAAATATAATCTGTTTTCTTCGCTCCATAAGACGCACAGACTTTCCACCCCCCTGTTTTGTGGGAAAAAAGTGTGTCTTATGGTGCGAAAAATATGGTATATGGGTTGTACAGTGGACCCTCGACTTACAGACTTTTCGAGTTACAGACTTCTCTGGCTGCAAAATTTAGATTCGACTTGCAGCCAGAGAATCGACTTACAGACCAGAAAAAAACCAAAATGGAATAAAAATAGAATAAAAACCACTGGTTATGGGATTAATCGGTTTTCAGTGCATTGTAGGTCAATGGAGATTCGACTTACAGACTTTTCGACTTGCAGCCACCATTCCAATACGGATTAATTCCTTAAGTAGAGGGTCCACTGTATCTAGAAATCCATCATTGTGGTAAGTAAAAAGCTGCAGTTGTAAAAGATGATTTCCATCTGTTTCTAGTTATGGCCCATATTAGGTTAAAGTTTTTTTATGACACCATTGCTGCTCATGTGTAGGAATTTGTGGCTTCAAGCCAATCCTTATATGGACACACTGGTTGAAATCCAGGCGGGACAGAGTGGTAGCAATTTCAGACATTCATGACTTCTTCCTCGTGCCCATTCCACAGCCTTCAACAGCTTCCCTACAGCAAAGGGATCCCAACATAACTTCAGGACCTTTGGAGGGGTGAAATATAAATTTTTAATTTTCAAAGTAACACATATCTCTAAGAAAATATTATTCAAGGTTATTTATTTGTCTGAAATGCTTGTTTTCTCCCCCCCTTTTTAATGTAGCCCATCTATCCCACTTTTAGAAGATATGACTGAAAAAGAGAGATATGGTCTGTTTGAACAGCTTACTCTGCAACTGGAGCACTACAAGGTAAATCACCAGATTT